TTCTGTCGCTGCCTCAGGTGCCCMAGCAGAGCAGCTGCAGGCTCCTGGGTTCCAGAGCTGCTCCTCTGGGCACAACTATACCAACTTTCTTATCCCTAACTTCTCCCTTCTCCTGCTCCTGCTGTCTGATTCACAAGTGGATTTATGAAGTTTAAAAACACTCCTTGTGCAAGCCATGCTCCATAGCCTTGTCCTCTCACTCGCACAACCTGCCCTCAATGCACTTGCCAGGAGTTTGGGCAGAGGTACCAGAACTGCGCTATGAAAGGGAGTTCCTCCTTGGCAAAGCCACAAGAGCTCTCCCTCACACAATCACACACAGATTGCTGTCCCCTCCCAACGGCTCAGGTGCACGGGGCAGGAGGAGGTGGCTCCTGCTCAAACCAAGCAGTGGGACACAAGGAGCTGGAGGAACCCAGCCAAAAGAACAGCTTTGCTCACTTCTGCTTTGGCTCCCTCWGTGAATGTTTTCTCTCAGCACTGGYTGATGGGTTTCAGACTGAGGCAATGTTAGGAAACGAAAGGGAGAAGGCTGTGACACACTGTRTGATGTGCCAAGGAGCTGCGGTGACGCACGGCAGCTGGCAGTGCTCTGGTGTTCACCCACCTGCAATGTCCCCACTGGGGCTGTCCCAGCACCCCCGGAGCTGCTGCAGCTTCTCTGCTCACACCAACAGCTGGGGACTGCCACCTGCTGCCCACACCCCCAGCAGTGCCACTGGCCAGGTCACGCCAAGGGGATGGCAGAGGGTTTGTAGCAGAAGCCTCTCCACTCAGAGCAGGAGAGGGGGTGACAGGAAAGCTGCCAGACCCGGAGCTGCCCAGCACAGCTTGTCCCCTGGGCCACTGGCAAGCTGCAGATGTTAGCCAGGGTGTGGCACAGGAGGGCAAGGTGCCACTGGACCATGCTGCATCCAGGGGAACATCCCTTCTGCTGCCCCCATATGAGTGATTGCCAAGGGCTCTATGACGTGAGGCCATGAGGTTTGGCCAGCTTGAATTCATCCCCCGACCTCAGGGCAGCAGAGCAAAGGTCCTGTTGGGCTCAGTGWGGGGCTGAGGCTGGTCCCTGGCTGACAAGTGGCCATGGACTACACACAAAAATGCTCTAAAGCTGACAGCACCAAATGTTTCTTCTCCACCTAGAACAGTTGTTTGGGATTCAGCTAGGAACAAAACTGCATCTTGTAGGTTTTAATAAAGCTCTTGGCGAACAGTTCAAACACCAGGGGAGAAGCTGGAGAGAGAGGTTGAATTTATGGGAGCAGGAGGAGATCATTTGCTTTCTTAGGAATTGGAAAAGATTAATAGTGTGCAAAGGCCCTTGGATTCATTCCTCACATAGCAAAATGGTTAGGAGACTTACTGGCTTGATGTTCTTCATTCTGCCTTTCTCAAGCAGCCTAGAAATTGTCTGAGCAGGGGAGAAAAGAACCAGGGAGAACAGGGAGCYATCCTGTGTCAGCCCCAGAGAGGAGGTGGCTGTGGCACGCTGGAGGACAGAGGGGAACTGAATCTCAGAGTGCTCTGTTGGGAAATTAAATATGCTTAATATTTCTGCACATTCTGATGTGTGGGGAGGCACTGGTACCTGGGGAGATGGTGGGAGCACAGGGCAACAGGGCAGGTTCATCCTCCCAGCACACACCCAGTCCTGGACCCCGAGGTGCCAACAGCACAGAGCCATTCCAGAACCAGAATCTGAACCCAGGCAAGGTCCTGGCTCTCTCCCACTACAGGTGTTTTGCAATCACCATGTGAGGGAAATCCTGAAATAAGTTAAAATTCAAGAAAAAAGACAGTGATTTCCTAAGTTTCGCTGAAAACACAAAGTTTTTTTCCAATATCCAAAACCTGCTGCAAGCCTCACTGCACACAGAGTGTAGGGCAAGGATGAAAAGCTACTGGACACAGATGGGGAGCCACAAGATGTGACTTCCACACAAGCCAGAGTCTGTGCTGGAGAGGCAGACTGGCTCAGGCATTGCTTCAATCCTACATTCAGTCTCATTTGGCTGTGGGGTGACAGACAGCCCRTGTCCCCAGAGGATTGCACCAAACCAGCCTGTGAGGCTGCAGCAGCTCCACACAGCCAAGAGCCAGGACACRGCACAGCTCACCCACACAGTGTGAGCAACAGCACACTGATCATGTGCCCTGCCTGAACAACAGTCATCTCCCAAAAAACAAAGTTTTGTTGGAAACTAGATGAGAGGATGGGCAGAGCCACTTGCTTTCCATTCTTGCTCCCAGWCAGAGGAACACTGGATGGATCCACTAATTTCTCCATGCTGCTGTAGCTGGGAAAGTCCAAGCCAACAACCTGACACTTGGCTGGGTCTAAGTGCAGTATGGAGTGTTTTCAAAACTCCATAGTCAGCTCCAGAGCTGTCAACTATGGAAAATAAACTTCTGTGCTATTTATGGATATCTGTYGTGCTCTGATTCAGGGGAGGAAGGCGGTAGTGGTGCCTAAAACGTTTCACTGGGAGGCAGCAGCAGCTCTTGGGAAGCCATGATCAGTCTKAATTTTCAAATAATACTAGGAAATATGTTTGCTCTTTCAGAGGATGAATTAAGAACTTGAGCAAAACTGCTAACCATAAAAGCTCCCGGACATCTGGAAAGAATTAGGAAGATGCTTGGGACAGGGAGTTCAGGCAAGTTCAGGAGACACCTACTGCAGATCTGCGTCCACAGGAGGAGGCAGGAGGAGGGAAAGGGTTGGGGGGAAAAGCAGGAAGGGAGGATTGAAATAAAACCTCTGCAGGACGGGCAGTGGGAACAGGCTCTGTCCACACCAGTACAAGCAGCTTCAGAGGGTTTGTGGGGAGCAGGGGGTCAGGGGCCAGACCACGGTGGCAAAGAGCTCACCCAGTGGCTGCTCATGGCTCTCCTTGCAAGGGCAGACAAGAGCCCCGTGCTGAGCATGTCCCTGGTGGGAAAGCTCATCACTGCCACAGGCCAGATGTGCCCAAATCACCCCACCCCATCGGATGAGCAGATTGTGCCCCCCATTGAACTCAACTGCTCAACAGGACAAAAGCTGTGACAAAGCCACAAGTACAAGAGAAACACAGAGCCAGGAGTGGGGAACACAGCAAAGCAGCCAGCTAACGGGGAATGGAAAATGTTTGCTGTATTTCRGAGCAGATAAGTACTCAGGCAGCCCCTCAGAAAAGTCACAAAGAGTTCTGCTTCACTCCAAGATGAAAGYAACAAAGAATAAGCACAAAAACCATAGGGACTTGTAAAACCCATGCTTGATTTATTAAATGAATCACAAAGCTTTTTATCACATATTTCTGCCTCCAAGTCACTTTACACTTCAGTTCAGGTGCCAAATCCTTTGTCTTTTTYGTAACTGTGGATTCTTGTAATACATTCAGTTCTGGAATCTGTTTCAAATCCATGAGCTTGTGCCAAAGCAAAGCTTTTGGGCTTCTTTTGGAAGCCTGTTGTTACCAACAGCAGGTCCCCCTTTCTGAACAGAATTGCAAGGGCCTCGCTGCACCAGAAGCCAATGCTYACCCTTGTGGGAGGAAACAAAACAAATAGAAACAAGTCAGATGCTCCTTATAAATGTTTGTGGGCATCTGAATTTAGTAACTGAATTTAGTTTCTGCTTTCCCTGTAAGTGAAGAATAACTGTTTTCCAATGGAGTTAGCAGGAGGTAAAGCTGAAAATCAAAGCATGAGCTTTGTGTTTCCTGACAATTTTCCTTTAACAAGGTACCTCCAGCTGCTAACTGCATTTTATTGCATTCCTCAAAGACAGATCTCCATGCAAGAATATTTTAAGAGCTCTACTCCAAAAATAAAGGTACTTGGATTTATTTTTATGGTTACATGAATTTTACAGTTGGTCTCAGAGCCCTTAGTGCTGCCTTAGCCACAGCACCACCAAGGTATGGCACAGGCTGCATCCCCAACCTGTCACCCACCTCCCTCGTGTCCCTGTACTCAGGAAGGTGCTGAAATGTGGCACCCAGAGACATTCCTGTGCTGCACACACGTGTCTGACTGAGCCACCAGGCAAGGAGGAGCAGGAGTGGGCTTTTCACCTGCCTGTGACAASAGCAACACTGAAAGGCTGAATGCCCACCCTGGCAGTGTTCATGGGGAACCCTCGAACTCCAAGTGACTCCTGGGTGAATCTGGCTGAAGGGAGCTCAGCACACGTGAGGAACTGTGTCTTCCTTAGCAATGGGGTCCCTGGTAGCCATCCCACAGAACATCCAGATCTGGAATGGAACAAACCCACAGCTGATCCCAATTAGAGCACCCTGAAGCAGAGACTCACTCACACCCAGCAGACAAACGCAACTGATGACACAGCCCATCAACCAGCAAMGGCACAGAGCAATTAATCACACCAAAACTTCAATGAGCACCTCCTTCACCCCATTTCAGTCAGCCAGTCCAGCCACAGCCACTTTCAATGCAGAAAGCTCCCTCAGCACTTTTAGCTGGGCTGTTGTTAGCCCAAAGACATGTATCAGGGGCCAAACATCTGGGAGAAGCACAAGGGCCACCACTGAACTGTGCTGAACATCTTCCAAGATTTAAATCCATTTGTTCATTGTGCAGCTGTCCTGAAGAGAGGCTGACAGAAGAAGGGCGTTGAAGGGTTGCATAGCGTGCGCACATGTAAAGACAATCCAAGCACACCATGATTTACTGCTTTGGGATGATATAACCAGCCCTGAGTGAGGATGACACCCCAATCCACCCTGAGCCATCAGCCTCAGCACCCTTCAAACTCTGTGTAAGGAGCAAAGGCTGTAGAGCCCTGTGGGAGCATAACCCACCTCACCTCCCCACTGGGCAGGACATCCAGCACCAGGGTAGGACAGTGCTTTCCTCTGCAGGTGCCTTTCYTTGCAATCAGAATTGTGTGTGAAGCTTTACCCCGTGAAGCTCCTATCCCTGATGGGAGCACGGGCAGCCCCAACCCTGAGCCAGCCCCCTCCCACCCCAAGCACCCCAATCTGCTCACRCACCCCCATCTGCTCCCTGCCACCACCACTCTCTGGTCACGCAGTGCCCTCAGGTGGCCGCGGGGACACTCCAGGTTGGAGACACAGAGACRGCAGCACAAACACACCCACAACGTGTCCAAGGCAATTCTTTATTGGCTTTCTCTGAGAAGCTTCAGCTCCTTAACAAATATGTTATTTAGAGACAAACACCCCAGCGCTTCCCAGGAACATTCAGAGGATAAGTGCTATGGCCAATAAAAGTGTCCCTGACCTGTCAGCAGCTGATGCTACCAGACAGTGATGTTTTAAGACTGATTTCAGTGGGCTCTGAAGTATCAGAGGTATCAAAGCAGTGTACTGTAACACCCTTGAAAACGGCCCATGTCAGAACTCAGGCATCCATGCACCTCTATAATCACATTTTCATTTGCTCCCTCCTCCTCCATGCCCAGGTGGGATGAATGCAAACACACTGCTCAARGACATGAGGTAACCACTCTTCATAAACCCTAATCTGACATCTCTTCTTTGGTTCTAAGGACAGAGACCAAATATCTTTCATAGCACCAGCCTGAAGGACTCTGTTACACTCACATCTGCAGCATCTCRTGTAAGTAAGTATCAACATTTTTTTCATGATACAAAACATCCATGGCAGGAGAAGGAAAGGACAAGTCCCACACCTGGAGAAAATTCCCTTCCACCCTCACGACTTTTTTGGTTCAGCCTCTTCTTCAGACACCAAGGCCATTTCCACTTGAAAATRGCACAGTCCAAGTGTTTCCTGCTGAGGCCAAGAATTAACACATTCAGGTTCCAAAAGGCACCAGGAGAGCTCTCTCAATTCCTCAACCCCTCTGCAGCACCCCAGGACACACCAGAAGCTGGTCAATGCCAGTCCCTGCTGCCCTGTCAGGAGCCAGGTGAGCAGCTCAGCTCCCGATGGTTCTCCACAAACAGCGAGACCTTCAGGAGAGTATCTGTGTCAGAGGGAAAACAACAACCCTGTCAGCTGAATGCACCTCACCTGTATTGTGTACTCCCAAAAATTCACTCTGCTTCTAAAGGGAATTAATAAAGCACAGGTAAAACTGACTGAGCAGTGAAATGGGTCACTGAGCCTACACTGTGAGGGAGGGTGTTGCTTCCAGCTGTGCCCAGRTGTGATGGTGAGTACTTTCAAGCAAGATTTCAGCCCAAAATCACAGAACAGATCACAAAGATCAACTGAGCAGGGTCACCCACAGCTGCTGAGACCAGCACGGCCAGGCCTGGGTGCTGCCCCCACGGGAAATCAGCACAGAGCCCTGGCAAAGACCCTCAGATCGATGTGCACAGAACTACCTTGAACGACGTCAYCTTTGTAGCGCTCCAAAATCCTCTCCCAGGACTGTGGCAGGGCTTCCACATCTGCCAGGTTGTCACAGGTAAGGCGCTGCAGGAGCAGCTTGCTCTCCAAGAACCTTCGTGCCCGGTAAGGACAACAACGAGCGAACAGCACCCCCGAGAGTTGCCCGGAGCCCCCTCAGCTCTGCCCGGAGCCCCCCCAGCGATGCCCGGAGCCCCCCCCAGCGATGCCCAAAGCCCATGGGCAGGATACAAGTGCCGGTAGTAGCGCTCCACGTCCTGCAGCCCCTCCAACACGTCGGCCAGCGATGGGCAGCGCGGGCCGCGCCGCAGAACCACCGCCAGCCCCAGCTCGGCCGCTTGCTCCTCGTACAACCGCAGCACAGCGGCGGCGGCGGCCCCGGCAGCGTCCCGCACGGCCCGGAGCTCCTCCCTGCGGCACAGCGGCATCAGCCGGGCCCCCTCAGCACCTGCCCGCCCAGCCCCGGCCGCCTCCTCACCGCCTCCTCACCGCCGCCCGCCGAGCTGCTCCAGCAGCGCCTCAGCCGCGCCGCGCTGCTTCCGCCACAGCCGCGCCCGCAGCTCCGGGAAGGAACCGAGCGGCGCCGCGTCCCACGGCAGCCTCCGCGCCGCCCGCATCTGCGCCGCCAGCGCGGCCAGAGCGTCCAGCAGCGGGCTCCAGGCGGTCAGAGCCTCTCTCGCTGCTGTGTCCGCCCGCGCCGCCGCCTCCGCCCAGGCCCGGAGCGCGCCCGCCATCGCCGCCATGGCCGCCATCACCCCGGCGCGCTCTGTTCACGTCATCACCGCGCGCGGCCCCGCCATTGGCTGGCGCTGGCGGCGGGCGGCTCAAACCGCCACAAGGAACGGCCCGGYCCGCGCCGCCATGGCTCCCGGCAGGAAAAAGGGCTCCAGCTCCCGCAGCAGGAAACTCGCCGCCTTCCTCAAGGATTTCGACCGCGATGGTAGGAGCGGGAGCGGGGGAAGGAGAGGAGAGCGGAGCAGAGCGGAGAGGGGCTCGGCTCGGCGCGGCTCTGGGCTCGCGGCCTGGGCTAATGGCGCCTGTCCCCCTCAGTGAACCGGCGGCTGGAGCAGATGAGGGTGGACGGGGAGTGCCTGGTGAAGGAGATGGAGAACCTGTACGACATGGCCATCCTGCGGCTGCCCGTGGAGATCCGCCAGATGAACTGGCTCGAGTACTTCGGTGCGGAGCGGGGCCGGGAGATGCGGGGCTGGGCTGGGCTGGGCTGGGCTGGGCTGGGCTGGGGGAGCGCGTTCCTCCTTGGATAATAAACCCCAACGGGAACACGGGAGCGGCTGAGATCTACCGTGCCCGCAATCCCTAAGGGCTCCTGCTCCTGTTCTCTGCGCTGGGTGTGCACCCCAACGGTGACAGCTCTGCTGTGCTGTGTGAGCTGTCCCGGACATGTACTGATYTGTCTGAAATGTTTTCTCTCCAGCTAAGGAAGGAAGTGGAAAAACGCTGGAGGAGGTGGCCATGGTAAGTTTCCAGCACAAAGGTAAAGCTCGCTGCTGCAGGGGCTCCTCAAGCTGGAACAATTCACCGGAGCATTACAATGGAAACAGTTTAACCAATATTTTCACAAACGTTTATTTAAAACTTAATAAGAGATGCCTGTTGTATCAAACGTGAGACTTGCGTGCTGCTCCCTGTTGATCTTGCCTTACCTGCTAGATTGCCCTCCCAAATCCCTGAGAGCACACACACTTTGCAGTAATTTAAAGCATTTCCAAATTGGTTGAGCAGCAGGGCATGGGCACGGCACACCTGCACTGCTAACCWGGCACTGAGTCCTGAGCTGGCACGCTGTCATCCCCAGGATAACTTGAAAGAGCCCAGCTTGAGCACAGCAGSAAACGTGGAGCTGACCTGGCTGCAAAATAATTGGGGATTTGCTCTACAACTTTGACTTACAAGAACTCTGTGCTGCCAACACAACTKTTCTTAATTTTAGGCAGACTTGGAAATAGCAGAAATAGACAAGCTGACAGCAGGAGTTATCAAYGCCCCATTTGAAGTCATCAAGAAAGGTTAGTACCTGCAGTACCTCTAATTAATTTTGTTAAGATATTCAAATTAATTCAAGATAGTGCTCTGTAAACCATTAGGATTGCATTGGAATTTGGATTTCAAAAGCAAATTGTTGCCAAAAATGCTTGTAATTGTTTGCTGTTTGCCTCTCCTGCTAAATAATAATTCAAAGTTATCATTTACTTAGATAACACTTCTCTTTCTAGGGGACAAACCCAAAAGGAGTGCTGAAGCCATTGAGGAAGGAGAGCCTCCATCGCTTCCTCTGCCAAAGAAATCCAGACTTGACAGCCAATGTCCTTCAGAGCCAGAGTCTGAGAATGTGAATCCGAGAACTACCAAGGTGAATAGCTATTTTCTGGGATGTCTTTATCCTCAGGATATAAATTTCTGACTGAGCTGATGGGTAGGACTGTCCAGCGTACTCTGAGGGGGACTTCAAACAGCTGTTGCTTCCCAGAGAATTCTAATGATGGGGGAAGGTCATGAAGGCTTGAATGRTGTTTGTTCTGGGCTCTTTTGCCATGAAAAGGGGCTGAGCCAAATATTTTATGTGGAAGCATCTGTTTGTGTGGACTCAGCTGTCCCATGAGAGGGGAATAACTGATCTAGTGAGTGATGTGTGCTTCAGGTGAAAGCATCCACCAAAAAACCACCCGTGGCCAGAAGACCTCCCTCAGCGAGAGTGAAGCGCTTGAGCAAGAGGTAATGGGGRTGTCTCTGTCTCATCTCCAGAAATGGAGAGTGAGGGTGTAAATATCTCTTTGCTGGGATGRATTTTGGTTCAGTAGTGGGAATGGGGAGAGTTATGCCATGCTATAGGAAAAAAATTATGTGAATGAAAGACAGACAGCTGTCTCTCCTGTGAGGACCAGCTGTCCCCAGTTTTTGGAGTCACTGTTTAATAATAACCCCTGAGTTTAATGGTGGTCACCTTCTTCAAACCTTTGAAAGTGCTTGTACATTTGTTAAAGATCATCTTATGAGAAGATATTTATTTCCCTTTAACAGATCAAGCAAAAACAGCTTTGTCACTCCAGCTAGTGGCAGAATGGTTGATGCGTGTGTTCGGGGAGGCACCTCCATGCTTACACCCAGATTTGATTCCAGGTTTGTATTCTGTTGGATTTCTCTGTTCATTTGTTAACAGAGACAATAAATGTGTTTCCCTTCTATCCCTATTATAATCTGCTTTATGT